TGGGGGTTCTTGGAGGGTAGTAAGCCTCAGGGGGCGAGAGAGGGTACTGTTGCAAAACAGCTGGCTTGTCTAGGTGGTGCATTGAGCCAAACTCAATCCCCATGGCATCCACCTTGGGACAAGCCCAGGCAGTTGGCCATGAGAGAGGGATCACTTTGCATCATGCCTGGCATCAGCTGCACCTCCCTGAAGGGAGAATGCCCAAACTTTGAGAATGTCATTCCTCGGGGCTTCCTCTTTATCCTCTTGGCTCATACAATACAATGACTATACTTTTTTTTTTAAAAAAGGGATTAAGAACAATCTATTGGACATAAGATTTTTCACAAACTCTTTCCTCTTACCCAAATTCTTCTAGCTAATTCTGAGATGCCATTTGCCATGCCCCATGGCTTCAGTTCTGATACTGATTCTTTAGCAGGTTATTTTCGAAACTTAGAGGAGAGAAAGATCCAAGAGGAAATGCACTTTCAACATTTTAATTCCTACTTCTTCAATAAGCCAGCACTGAGAAAGCCATTGCTTTGAGTGACCATCTTCTTCCATTTGTCCACATGAGAAGACATGCGTGCTCACTGCATGACTATTGCAGTAGATTCCAGCCATCTACAGAAATCTACAGATTAGCATGCATCTAAAATATTACAGACTTGATTATTTTACATAAAATACGTAACAATCAGGATTTGTTCATATCAAACGCTCAATAAAGTATTAGTAATTGATTGTTTTCAACTTTTATTGCTACACATATAATGTTAGTTTCTTTATGGATTTTTTTTCTCCCCTTCTTGCTTAGTTACCACCTAAGAAAGATTTAGTCAATGTTTACCTTTTTTTTGTAGTTATTTCTATTTTCTCTGTTTGAAGTTAAAACTTACAACATCATGGACATGAATGAAATTTTTTTTCTCTCCCCTCCTTTTTTTCATCCACTTTTTCCTTTTGCAATTCAGAAGCTCTGCTCATTTCCTCATGGTTTTACCTGATAGGTTACTTTAGCTGATTAAGGTGAATATTTATATAAGTACTAGAGGCCTGGTGCACAAAAATTTGTTCACTTGGGGGGTCCCTCAGCCCGGCCTATGCCCTCTTGCAGTCTGGGACCCCTCAAAGGATGTCCACCTGCTGGCTTAGGCCCGTTCCCTGGGGGATTGGGCCCA